CTCCTCTCTCTCTCTCTCTCTCTCTCTCACACACACACACACACACACACACACACACACACACACACACACAACACACACACACACACACACACCACACACACACACACACACACACACACACCACACTACCTCTCGGTGACGAAAACAACCTTGTTTGTCTCAGAAGGGCCGAGTCACGGAAGGCCCTTGTCGTCTCTATACTTCCCCTGTGGCTGGTTCTATTCCGGTCATTGTAATCGCATTTTTTTAATTATTATTTATTTGGTGATTATAAAGATAGCATTTTTTTATTTATTATTTTGATGATTATAAAATCAGAGTAAAGTTGACAAGGAGGAAGAATTGCGAAGGATAATAAGGGTAAAGTTGTTACGATGGGAGGGGGGGGGGGGGGAAATGACTTAAAAAGGGTAAATTTGATGAGAAAGGATTGAGAATAACGATTATGAGAGAGTTGGTGAGGAGGGAGAATTGAGAAGTATGATTAGGGTTAACTTGATGAGAAGGGAGGATTAAGTATGGTAATTAAAGTAAAGTTGATGAGAAGGAAGGATTAAGAATGGTAATTAAAGTAAAGCTGAAGAGAACAGGCGATTAAGAATGGTAACTAAAGTTGATGAGAAGGGAGGTTTAAGAATGGTAATTAGAGTAGAGCTGAGGAATTAGAATCAAGAATAAGGGAGAATTAAGAATGGTGATTAGGGAAAAGTTGACGAGAAACAAAAATAATGATTTGTGTAAATTTGATAAGAAAGGAGTGTTAAGAAGGACAATTTAGGTAAGGAAGAAAAATAAGAAATAATTAGTAAGGAAGATAAGAAGGAAGAAAAATTATTTGGGTAAAGTTGAGAGAGGAGACTCAAGAATATTGATTAAAAGTAAAGTTGACAAGAAAAAATGAACGAAAGGGTAATTATGGTCAAAGTTAACAGGAAACAACACTGGTGATTTGGGTCGATGGGAAGAAATGAAGAGAAGATTATTGTAGTAGATACGATAAAGATGGAAGGAAGAAAATTATTGATTTTTCGTCGTTTTTGTAACTTTCGATATCGTCAACGTTTTATCGCCATGATTATCATTATTTTGTTTACTTTTTTCAAATATTAACTGCTGTAAATCACCTCAACATTTCTCGTTTTATTTAATTTTGTTAACAATATATCACTATTTCAACGGTTTACATTTAGTAAAAACAGAGTTCGCTTCGTATTTTGGTTGTAAACATGTCATATCTCCATTAAAAATACTATCGTTGTTATTAATAAATAAGCTGTATTTAGTATTGATAGCAGTGTTTGCGGTAATATTAATGCAATCAACAATATTAGAAAAGTAATAGTTAGGAGTTTTAACAAAGTGGTATCCCCACTTGCGTTATTTAACAGTAGTAGCACTATCAGTAGTACAAATAATCGTAGTAGGAATATTAACTAGTCGCATCACCAGTAAGAGCTGTGGTATGGTTGTAGTCAGTATTAGTGATCGAGGAAGTAACGTTAGTAAAAGAGATTACAGCGACAGTCGTTGCCATAGCGATGATGAATGTAGTTATAAACACAAGAATATCAGTATAATCTGGACTCTTACTTGTTTACTCAGTCTGCAATACTTTTATGGTCAGCAGAGTCGTTATTAATATCATTATCATTCATTACAAATTGCTTCACCAATCCTTTCCATTCTCCATTACACCATTCACAAGATGAAATAATACATCAGTAAATATTATGGTGCTAATGAAAAAATAGGCCTATTCTCTCTACCGTCATTTGCATTACCATCATAATAATAGCAGTAATGATAATAAGAACTTTCAAATGCGCATCAGACAAAAAAAAATACATTTATATTCCACAGAGGAAAGGAGACGTGGAGGAGGATGGGAGCAGGGGAGGAGACGGGAGAGGAGGAGACGGAGAGGAGGAGGGGAGGGAGGGGAGACGGGAGGTGAGAGGGGATGGGAGGAGATACAGAGAGACAAACACAGAGTAGAGAGAAAGCGAGTGAGACAGACAGACACCGAGAAAGAGAGAAATTAAGGACCAATGCGCATAAGCCAGCAGCGGATCGACTGCCAGCAGCAATGGGCTGACACAGGCAAGAGGACAAACCTGGTGCTGAGTCAAACAGGAAATATCTTTGTCGGGAAAAACGTTCCCGGTCGCGAAATTGTTATATGTTCCATGGTTCAGTGGTGTTATATAATCCAAATTTATATCATGAGCAATAACTTCCACCCTCTGATAAAAAAAAAAGTTTAAACCAACATTTCACTGTATGCCATAACAAGGCGTGTCCTAACTATAAATCCCTGTATATGTATATGTACATGTGTGTGTGTGTGTAAAATCACAAGAAATTGTATATAGCAAAGTATCTGCTCTATGTGTATTTAAAGGTGCGTGTGTGTGTCCTGTTCACCCGTGCCTTCAAAAAATGTTGCTCAGAGAAATCGCTTCTTATCCCCTCTGACAACGGCCCGAACCGCAGCCAC